GATTTACGTTTTTTCATTTCGGAACGAAAGTGGAGGCAACACAAACATTGCACTTGTGTGCTGTCATTAAATAAAGAGTTAGTTAATTTCCACATACATACATGTATATGACTGAAACTCAGATATGTTTTCTGCTTTCACTAAAATATTGAAGCGAATATGTTTTTGTTAAAAATGTATTTGTTCTACTTTACTACTAAAAAAGCAAAAAAACATTTCTTATGCTCAATGTGTTCAAGTACTTGGTATGCTTTAGTTATTTGTATTGACATACCGTGAATTGTGTACAGCTGAACAACGATTCCGCGTTACGAGCAAAATGGATTAAGCAAATTCAAAAGCACCAAACATTTGACAGCGTTCCCATCACATATTCAGTGTGTGCTGATCATTTTGACTCCAATTACATCCAGCAAAGTGGAAATCGGAAGATTCTCAAAAAAGGTTCATTGCCAATATATTTTCCGGAGTAAGTTTAGATGTTTTGTATACTGATGCAACACGGTTTTTAAATTCACATTTTTTTCGACTTTTTCAGTGCCGATGGACACATCAATGTGTTTTTGCCGAACGATGAAGATGAAATGCAACAATTGGCCACACCCGAACAAGCTGTTGATGTTGAACCACCAGTTAATGATGCAGAATTGAATTCAACGACAACAACAAACAATCCCGAAGTACAGGAACAGAAAGAAAATACAATTCCGAATGGCGATAAGTGAGTATTGATTTATAATAACCTTTTGTTTTTGCACTGCTAAAAATGACATCGACAATATGAATAAAAACATGTTTTGCATTCTTCCTTTTTTATCGTCCAGGAAGTTTGAAATCTCAGCATTGGAGTACAATCGTTACCTTCAATTGGAAATTCAATTGCAAAAGTACAAAGGATTGTGTGAGAAAAAAGCCAAAGAGATCAAGCATTTACAAGACCAAGTTGCCCGTTTGAAGCGTAAGGAGTTGAAACGGTTTGCTGTTTAGCCCGAACCAGTTAAATCGACGGCTGATGTAAAAGTAAAAGCAAAAATATTAGTTTAAGGCATCATAATCAAAACGATCCATTTGTGTATTGCAAGCCATTCCATTACTTCCATTTACATTTTGATTTGAATTTGACACAACTTTGAATTTTTCCATTTATTTTTTTTACCTCGCTACTTTTACTTTACTTTTATTTCAATTGTATGATTTTTTCATGATTTTTAAAAAATAAATACCGATAAATACATTAAAACAAGACAACAAAAATATAACAAAAACAATTGTTTTACAATTTTTAGACTGCAAATGAAAGGATTTTGGAGTGTCTGTCTTCCGGACGTAATGAAAAATGCTACAATGAAGATGTGCGATCATTTTGTTTGACTTTGCATTTTTATAGCCCCCGTGCCTATAATTATGTAAGAAGTAAATTTGATAACAAATTGCCAGCCATCCCAACAATGCGGAATTGGTATGCTTCTATTAATGCATCACCTGGATTCACAATGGAAGCCTTCGAAGTCCTGAAGAAGAAAGCCGATGAAGTTCTAGAAACAACTGGATCGAAAATGTTGTGTGCATTGATGGACGATGAAGTAGCAATCCGTTATCACGCTCAATGGAATGCTGCTTCAAAGAAATTTGACGGATTCGTCAATTTAGGTAGTAACAACCGCACATTACATCCAGATGAGGATAATTTGCCACTTGCCAAAAATGCCTTGGTGTTTATGATTAGTGGAGTTAAAGAGGACTTCAAAATACCTGTGGCGTACTTTTTAGTCAAAGGACTGACAGCGGATGAAAAGGCAGCCATCACAAACGAACTTCTCATTCGCTTAAGTGAGATAGAAATAATCGTTGTTTCAATGACATTTGATGGTAATCGTACCAACCTTGCGATGGTTAAAATCTTCGGTGGAAATTTTGAAGGAAAACCATATTTTATCGATCCTGCTGACAACAATCGAAAGATATATGTAATTTTGGATAATCCGCATATGTTGAAATTGGCGCGGAACACTATTGCAGTCCATAATCTAGTTGATGGAGACGGTGGCGTAATTTCATGGAGTTACTTTGTAGCTCTTTATGAAGCCCAGAAAAATCTTTCCTGGAACTTGGGGAACAAGCTGACAAAAGCCCACATTCAATGGGACAAGAAAAAAATGTCAGTGAAGTTAGCCGCCGAGACTATAAGCAACAGTGTGGCTGATTCGATGGAATTCATGCAAGGAGAATGTGAGCAGTTTGAATATGTAATGGCCACCGTGAAATATATTGGCATATGGAATGATAGCTTCGACATTATGAATTCCACAACATCGGAAAGAGCTACTGGCTTCAAGAGAGCGATATCCAAATCAACTGCTCCTGAGCTATTTCATCGTTTTGAAGAGGCTATGGAATATTTTAAAGAGCTGAAGGTCGAAGGAGATGAGAGATCAATTTTTAATTCGGGTGTTAATACCGCATTCATGGGAACGTACAGCAATATGATTAGTTTTATGGGAATCTTCAACGATTACGTGCAAACAGACAAAATGGATAAAATCATCTGTCATCGTTTTAGCCAAGATTTGCTTGAGTCTTTCTTTGGTTCTATCCGAAGCATGGGTGGTAAAGATTTCAATTGTTTTGTTTTTTTACCTCTACTGTACAAACACTTCCATCAATTTGTTCAACAAATTATGTTATTTTAGGCTTCAATGACAACCCAACGGCACAGCAGTTTGAGGCTGCGTACCGAAAACTTCTAATTCATAATGATGTGGTTTGTTCGAAGAAGGCCAACGTGATTGAACCAGGTACAAAAATATTAACCGTCTCTTCAAACCGTCCAACAGCAAAATCAGCTGAAGTGCTTCCAGAAGCTATAGGATTGGACGATATCTGGTTTGATGAAGACTTTGAAGACAGCTTTTTCGCCGCCTCGTACATTGATGACGCACATAGTCATTCGTTAGCGTACATGGCTAGCGTTTTGGAGGCTAAGATCATCGCGCCCATTCCACACGAAATCAATCAAAATTCACATGGGTTCTCAGAATTGGCTGAAACTTTGCACGAATGTTGGGTTTGGCAATAAAACTCAGAACGCCAAAATTTCAGCCCGGTATCTATTACTGGTACAGATGGTCGAAAAATCGAATTTTTCGAAAATGGAGTTTTTTTGCTCTGCTTGTAAAAAATTTCAATGAAATCATAAGTGAAT